CTCACTTGATGGTGCCAAGTATGACTTGGCAGAGAGGGTAGATGAGCGGCTGGAGAACGTCACTGGGATACAAGGTGCTGAGGACCCGACACCACAGATACAGACAGTGAATAAACTGCCAGTTATACACCGCCTGATGGGTCTCCTAAAAAAATAAAATAAATAAATACAACCAATGCCACACCTGTACACAGAAAAGATTTGTGCTCTTTTTTTGTTACTGTATTTACTGTTGGATATATTTATTCTTAGAGATGCACTAAGAAAAGGGCTGGCTGAAATGCTGTTTGTTCTTTACTTGCCTGTCAGAAACTAAAAATCAGATAATTCCCCAATCAGTGAATGCAATACTTAAAGACTACAATGACAACAATCTTCAGTGTGGACGGCATCACTGAGTGCTGGAGAAGATCAAAAGGTCTAACAAAATATTTAAAACTATTTTGTATGCAGGCATGTAGGTTGTTCATTCAGTCTACTATCTTAAAATATGAAGATAAACAGGGCGACTGGATGATGGTAGGGGAAGAGCAGAGGAACATATTTAGTGTTCACTAAATAATTACTAATAAAAGATTATGAAAACAGTTTTGAGCTTTATTCGTTGTATTTTTCTCCTGATCAACTCCTTTTTTCTCCCTTGGCACATAAGATTTCAGATAAAACCTGTTTTAATATCACTTAAATGTTTTAAAACAATATTTTATCAACAAAACCTGGTCTGGTAGGAAAATATAAACAGCTATGCATGTCTTTTACAATATATTTAGCAAAATACGGTTAGAAATATATTGTATCTTATAATACTTGTAGAAACAAGCAAACAGATAAAGGTGCACCTCTAAGATCGCAACAATTACAAAAGCATAAACGGTGAAAATGATCAGGAACAGTTAAAAGTAACGTGACGTCTTTCACAAATGTTTCAAATAAAACTTTATTTCTTTGAGAAAGTGGGGCTTGAACCAACCAACCTTCTTCTTCATGGTCATGGCGTTCCTGAGGTGAATGGCCAGCTGTCGGATGTAGATGAAGGCCTGCTGATAGGAGACGTGAGTGTCCAAGGCGTACATCTCTGTCAGAGTTCGTTGCATGAAGTTAATCATGGGGAGCGCATTGGGAGATGTGAACTTGCAGTTTTGCACATAGGAAATGTACATTTGCTGCAAAGAGGAAGAAAACTAACATGAGAAGACGTTTCTGCAGAAAACGACCCAAAACTCAAACCTGGCAAGATGGGAAATGTGGATTTATTGGTAGAACAAAGCTTGAGCCAACTTCTGTGGTTACCTTTAAAATTATATTAAGATACGCCTCCTGTTTGTGTCTGCAGATCTTGTTGAGGGCCAGAAAGGAAAGAACCCGACCCGTTTCCTCCCCTGTGCTCCACTGCTTTAGAAGTTGCTGTAGACCAAACGCAACGTGTTAAAACCTGACCATGAGCATCTCTTTACTGCAACGAATCCGAGCTAAAGCTCAACCTTCAACAGATGCCGACACTGTTTGGGCAGACACAGGTAATACGGTACGAGCTGGTTGACGTGCTTCAGGACAGCAGTGATGACGGTGGTTTCTGTCAGGCAGGATAACAGCTGCAGACGGAGGAGCGGGAAAGAAAACCAACAATTAGCGGGATGATGTGAAATGTATTCTCTGTTTTACTCTGCATCGAACCACATCGGCCAAACCTGAACTACTCCACCCAGATACATCTTGATGTCATTCAGATTCCTCTGCCATCTTGGACTAGATGAAGGAAGCACCAATCTGAAAACAAAACAGAAATCAATGCAGCCTTTGTAAAGCTAAACAATAAGAAGAGAGATCTGCAGATGTTTGGGTAACTTTATACTTGTTCTGATCTTTGTTGGGCTTCACGTTGAGCAGCTTCTGCAGGGCCAGGTGAATCTCTCTGATACAGAGCAGGATCAACGCATTGAACACTGCAGAGGTGAAAGAAGGAAATGTCAGATATTTGCATGGACTGAAACTTGCCATTATTTTATGTCAGCAAAACAAAATGTAAGTTGTCTAATTTCATAGTACTTTCCTAGACATCCTAACCACTTAACCCTTCAAACGAGAGCCACATTCACCCAGGTCCACTTGCTAACCTGCATACATTCAGATGCCGAGTCGCAGATCAGTAGGCAACTTGGGATCAACATGTGACAGGGGAAAACTGGAATCAAACTCACAACTGTCCAACTGCAAATCAAATCACAACCCTGCATGTTCCTTATTCATGTGTTTGTTATGCTAAAGGAAACTGCATCCATTAACACCTGCACGCACGAGGGTAGTTTATCAGTACTATTCCTAAAGATGGTGTTATAACATGTGAGCAGGCTCTGGTCCATTCTTTTCTTGAATTTGTAAAGTGTAAGCAAAGGTAAAGTCACTCCTGTTGGATGCTGAACATCATCTTTAACGAGTTTGATCATACCAAGAAAGTCAGCATGAGCGATACTTTTTTGCCTCAGAGCTGCATGGAATCCCAGTGGTGCAAGTTGTCACCACTCTCTAGAAAAACAGCCATCTTTTAAAATGTTACTATTTGTAATTTTCTCATATGATAATATAAAGAAGCCACAACAAATTATGCAGAACAGAAATGCTGTGAACAGAAACCAAAATGGTTTAATATGTGGAGATAGAATCCCTCTGTCGTTACAAGCACAGGCTGCATTTGTTAGGCGACGACCCACCTGAACTGTCAGCCACCTTGTAGCAACACTGACCGACTCCTTCCCCCTTCGTCGTGGCAACGGCAGCCTTAAAGGCCTGTGTGACCTCTCTGAAGAGGCGAGGAGTGGGATCTTTCCTCAAAGCAGCTCTCCATTCTTCAATCATTTGGTCTGTGACTTTGATGGACTCCGCTGCCTTTTTGGTCTTCTTCGAAGCTGTGTGTTCTTCCTCATCATCCTCCTCAGAGATAGCTTCCTACATGGAAAACATGAAAATCTCAGCATTTTTCATTTCACACGATTCTTACAGATACACACAAACCAAAGGCCGGCTTACCTCCAGTTCAGCCGGTAGTTTGTGGTACTTATTTCCATCCTCCTCCTCTTCAGAGCTGTCCGTGTCATCAAAATTGAGCAGCGATTGGTCATTTTCCTCCAGAAACTTGTAGAACTCCGGGTCTTTGTTCTTTAACCGGGACAGCTGCTCCTTATGCTCAGAGGCTTTACCCTTCTTTTCATTTCTACATGATACAGAAACAGATCTACATTGAAGAGGTTTGTTCATATCAATGATGTGCAGCACCATGAGAAAGTATTGATATCCCTTGGACCTTTTTACATTTTGTCATAATACAATATTGTGGTGTCATCTGACCAAAGCATCTTCTGTGTTGTCTATGATTGCAGCCAGCTGCTAATGTAACTTCTACAGTTTTTGTTTGAAAATGGCTAAGAGTTGTCCTATGAATATATTCTTATTCTGTTTATCAATTAATGAACTCCTGAAGACACCAGGGTTGGATTTTATGTAGTAATATCAGAGTAAAGCGGGTCGTAAATGAAGTCTGCAAATGTAGTTATAAAACGTTTGCAGAATTCATTTGTAATCATTTTAAAACCATCATTACTTTTCCTTCCATGTACACAACAGTCCACATGGATACAATGTATCCAAGTGGATACAATAAAACATGGATACAATAAAACAGACTAATATTTCTGTTTACAACAATACTCACGTCGGAGGCTCTGCTTTCTTCTTTTTCTTCTGTTTTGGAGTCTCTTCTTCAGATTCATCTTCGTCTGGAGAATTGAATCCTGAGACCAGGAATTCGTCCACACTGAGGTCTTCTAATTTCCTGTAGTAGATTAAAGTTAATAAACTAAAGTCAGAAACTCTCACACGTGCGTGAACAAGCCGTGCAGTGTAAAGCAACGAGAAATATGTGAGGAAGTTTGAATGTCTATTTGATAATTAGCCCAAAGTATGTGTTAAAACTGTCGTAAAGTACATCAGATATAAAGTGTGCTAGCATGCCCGCCTTAAGCTAACAGCGTGGATGGCTAAAATAGAATCAAACTGCATTAAACTCGTTCTAATAAACTTCCCAGTGATTTAAAACTATTTAACCTTTAAAGTACAACCGGAGCCGAAAGATGAACAGTTTAATTTACGAGTCACAATAAATAAACCTCTAACAAACCTTTTCTGTTTCGCTGCCATGCTGGATTAAAAAACGTGACGCCGGTGTGACGCAGAACTGCAGTACCCATAATCCTCCTGTGCTCAGGGAATGGAAGCGCTCCCCAACATTGAGCCGCTAGATGAATTGGATAGAAGTGGGCACGAAGCGGAGCTGAGTGACTTTTCCTCTTGAAAGGATGTTAAAAGCATTTTCGGTTGTGGGAGTGGAATTATTCCGGTCTGGATGTGGTGCAACATTTACACTATTTGCCAAAACAAACAATGGGCTTTCCTATTTTTGTTGTTGTATTGAAATCTATCTGATATTAGACAAATAATAATAATAATTCTCCAACTCAGTCTACAGACTGATTGGGGAAGCAGTTAACAGTCGATGGAGGGGACATGCTATACATGCAACTGCCTGGTATTATACCGCGGATAATTTGTGAAAATACCAACAAATTTATAGTGGTGGTTGACCCACTGCTGCCTTATTGGCTACGCTAATTAATTCACTTTGTTCAGGACTTAACACATATTTTCATATCTTGTCAACCAAACAACTCTGTTGTGAAATATGAAAGTAGTCAAGTGGGAGTCCTCCGTTCTTCCCAAGCAGGATGGAGTATGCAGCATGTAAGCCTCGCCCCCGCTTGCCTCGCAGGGTGAAAAATGGTGCGCACCCACATAATTGATTTTATGTTTCTCGTGTGCGGGTTTCATTACTTGTAATTCTAACTAACTTAATATAGTTATCCCAAATATTAAATGCGCTCAAGGTGACACTTGTACGTAGAGTGACTTGAAAAAAAAAGAAAAGAAAAAGCTCTTTCAAAAATTATGACTTAATTTGGAAAACACAAATTAGTCCAAGTGTTGACGTCAACCTTTATATTTAACAGCCAGAGCTCCGCGTCCGCACACAAAAGTGAGCAGTGTTTTGATGCGGCACGTGAGGTTTAAATTAAATAATCCCAAACTGGGAGTCTAGTTTTGCTTCTCACTTTCTTTTTATCCGTTGCTTTACATGACCACAAACCTGGGCAAGCTTACGAACCGACAGAAATCAGCGCTGTCACATCGACACCGGAGGCGGCTGCGGGTGAGGACTGCCTCCTTTATTTCTAGACCGAGCCGATTGTCAAACTAAGACAATGCTAGTTTAGCTAGGCTAGCACACACTGTAACAATAGATTTTGGATTAAATACTTCGTAACCTGATACTGATGTTTCAACTTAGAAAAATAATGATATAATATGTATCTGACGCTTATGCTAAACAGCGTAACGTTACATGTATAAATATTAAATCGCCAGAGCTAGTTGGTGGACGTTTGATTTTTGGTCTGGGCTAGCCGAAATGACCAACCTCTCAACAATAATACGGCTATGGCAAACCCCGCCCTTTCGCGACAGCGAGAAAGTGTTTACCAAACGCACTTCCTGATCAGACCAAACAAAAGGTGGCTTTTAACACTGTCTGTTGTGTTATCTTTTCACGACCACATTCTTTGTGTTGGGTTACCAGTTACTCGTGTGATGGGGCTTCATTAGAGCGTCTTTATTACTGCGGCTGTACACTGAGGCAGCCTGAGCAGTTTCGCTGTTGGCACTCTGAGCTGAAGTGGCTCCACCTTAACAAACCGATGTCTGCTTTCATGCAGTTCTTTTTTTGCATTGACGTCAGTGCATACAGCACAAAACAGGGGCTTTCTTCATATTTCCTATGCTGCTGTGGTCAGAATATGGACAGAACAGCCAGACGATGGTACCGATCTTAAGGCAGCGTGACTGAGACAGTTGGTGATTTCTCTCCCATCACTCCGAAGAGGACGCAGTGTCCAAGGATACCCGCAACACGACCACCGGTAAAAAAAATTGGACATCCATTCTTTCCTGCAGCTGCAGCTGATGGGTGCTCTTGATTAAAATAGATGTAGTGGAGGTTGAGGGTTGCTCAGATTTCACTCAAGAACAACTCTTCTGCTACGAAACATTTGTTTTCGACAGTGTCAAGCAGGATGTCAGCCAGAGACAGAAAGGAAGAAAGGTGATCAGCTCTTTAGTTTTAACTGTGATCCAGTGCTGTCACATCAGGCTCAGCCTCCTGTGTGTGCACGTCTCAGTTTGCAGCAGTATTCCCTCTGGAGCCTCAGAGGGGATTGTCTTCTGATTGTGGAGTACAGTTGGTGTTTCTGTGGTCTATTGTGTCTTGGAAAAATGGGACCCGGAGCTGGTCGCCAGGCAGCTGTGATGACATTTGAGATGTCGGTGGGATACTGGAGAGTGTGCAGTTGGGAGAGCTGGTGGATATTGTCAAGGTGCAGCAACAACTGTAGACTTGTGCTTACCTTGTATGTGAAACGTGGACTTCAGACTGGTCAATATTCCTTCAGGAGGAGATTGTGGGAGCTGTGAATTTGCTCTGATATTCTTAGCGGGTTACTTGAGCACACATCTCCTTTATTTTCACTGACATGTCAACTGAAATCTATTTAAAAAGGGATCTTTTTAAATACTGCCTATATAAAGGCAAAGGAAAAAGCCTGAACAGATATTTAAAAAGTAATAAAATAAAAATACCCACACAATTTTTAAATATGTGTAAATCCGCAAAATCCTTGATCACCCCCTTAAAAACACTTGGAGCAAGAGACTATCCGACTGAAGTGAAATCTAAAAGGTACATAGATAACTCAGAGCTTGACCGTTTGCATGTCAGAAATAAAATCTTAAAGTTGATCCTGTGCAGACAGGAATGAAATTTTCCTACTTTCTCATCCAAGTTAACAGTGTAGCGATAAGCTGGACCTACCAGAGCTTTGATAAGGATGGCTGGAGGTACCAGCTAAAGGTAACATGTACCAGTCTGAAGGTAATAAAATCACAAATCACCATTTTGAGGTCACTAAATGACCTCAAAAGAAGCACTTTATCTGTGATAAAAGCCTTGGCTTACAGAAACCTTTTTTTTTCCCCTCCCAAAGACTTTATTTGTGTCTGAAAGTTAAAATCAACTTTAGATGTTAGCAAGCAAACAAAACACAGTTCAAGAGAAACTGTTAGACTTTAATTGCACATTCATGTGAGGGATGTGACGTTTCTTTAAGATGGAGCCCAAGGAGAGTTTGTGAAGTGTGAATGTTATGGGCCCAAGAAGAGAGCCTTGAGGCACTGTTCAAGAACGTGAAGATGAGAGGACACATTCACCAAGCTTATAGATGGGAGTCCAACTATTTAGCTCTAGTATTGTCAAAAGCAGTCATGAGGTCTTAAAGCAGAAGAACAATAATATAACCAGAATATAACATGAAGTGGTTATTAAAAACTTTTTAAAACGTCCACTGCCTAAGTTGTGAAACTGAAACTCCCCCATTTAAAATAGACTGAAGTTAAATGAACCTCCTGTATCTTGATAAAGGATTTTAACAAAACCCGCTGCAGGGGTAATTGAACTAGTGGCAAGCCAAGTGTTCTGCTGTTATGTGTGCACCACATTGTTCGGGCCGTGAAGTAAATATCCTGCCATTTGTTTTTTTCTTTGTGTTTCTATCTATGCCTTATGACTAGTGGAAGAAGGTATGTGAGGGACATTAGCATTTGGGACACAGCGAATAGACCAGGTGGCTTAGGAAGGAAGTCTTTCATTTGTTTTCTACCAGTTGTTAGTTTTGGGCTCCAGCCAAAACTTGATTCTATGTAGGGACTTATGATTGGCATGTTGGCCTCTCAAAAAATATTTAAAAAATACATGAATCAGTCTGTGCTCATTAAATTGTATTCTAAGGTTTGTTTTTCTTTTCTTTAAGTTATCAAAGCATCAGTTAATGCATTTGATGGAAGTTTGTGTCAGATTGTTTTGAATGCGACAGAAAAAGAAGGAACAATAAGATTGTCACGATCTATGCATCGACGCATATGTCTCTAATATTTATCTCATTACTGAACTAAAAAGAGTGCACCAGAGTTGGTTGGTACATTTATTGGAAAAAAAAAAAGATTGAGTATAAAATATTAAATAGGGAATAAAATAGTATTTTACTGTACTTCACCAGTTGATCACTGATAACAAAGAAAGACGTGGATATTGATCAGTTGGTGTATCTCTAATCAATTTTGAACACACTGATATTGCAATAACAATGTATTGTGGAGCCTTACTGTGTTGTCTGTTGCTTCCTGTGTGTTTCCTTAAGATTCAACAAACACATTTTCACATTCTCATACATTTTGCCTCGGAATAAGTCAGAAGAAATTGTAAATAAATAAAAAAAAATCTAATTATTTGGTTTAAGATTATTTAAGGTAGAAAACCTTTGACACTTCAGCTGTCAAAGCGGAATCTAATTAGACTTGACTCTGTCATAAAATCCCGTCAGCACTTTGCATCCAGCTGCACTTTGTTGTCGTACTTTGGTTTCTGCCATGCTGGTCGGGCCTCCTGTCACCGCTGACGAGATGGCTTCTACCACCGTGACAATATTTATGATGAAGGCTCAGGACACCTGTCAAAGCACCTGCCTAATCCCTCAAGACTCAAGGAATCAAACAAGTAAGGTACTAATGACACCTTTTTTTTTTTTTTTTTTTTTTTAAAACGTTGCAGTTGCCCAGTGTGTGGCCCAAACACAAACCCACCACGGCAGCGCCAGGCATCATGATGGAGGGGGGCATGCAGCTGCTCAACCGCGATGGGCACAGCATCTCGCACAACTCGAAGCGGCACTATCACGACTCGTTCGTCTCGATGAACAGGATGCGACAGCGCGGCCTGCTGTGCGACATCGTGCTTCACGTCTCCAACAAGGAAATCAAGGCGCACAAAGTGGTGCTGGCGTCCTGCAGCCCTTACTTCCATGCCATGTTTACCAGTGAGTTGACCAGATCATCTACTTTAATGCTCTACTTTAGAAAAGTATTTAAAACTCTTGAAACCATTTTCACATTTTTTTTTTTGTGCAAAAACAATGTACAAAAAAGCAGTGTGCTTTTGTATTTAGTCCCCTTTACTTTTGCGTCCTTCAATAAAATCCAGAGCATTTAATCAGTGAACAGAGTCCCCGAGCGAAAAAATGAATCTCAGTATAAATCATTTCTGTGAACATTATTATGAAGACTTGGGAGCACAGCAGATTGGTCACGGAGAAAGTTGTGGAGAAATTTAAAGAAACCCCCCCACCCCCAAAACATCAAGCTTTGAATACAACTCCTCAGGCATGCTCTGCTCTCGCCTCTGCAGACACAACTTGAGTTTTGATACAAACAACTACAAGAAATGTTTCAAAAGTCACACAGGCGAGAGGACAGCTGAACGCGCGCAGCAACAGAGTCAAGAAGTTGTGTTTACTATCCTGTTGCCATAGTGGAAACATTGTTGCATATAAACACAAATCTCATTTGCAATATATTTTCAACAACTTCACATTGCAGAGCCTGTTTGTGTGGAATTTTTTTCACACGTGATAATCTTACTCACAAGCTCAAATTGATTCTACCTCCATGTGACGATGTTGCCATTGAATATTTAGCCATGCAAGTTGAGATGTTTTGCTCGGCAACCTCTCGTATCGCGATGCACAGCTCTTCGCATCCAAAATGTAAGCACGGATATTTTGAAACATATCCATATCCATATGGAAAAATGGGAAAAGCTTTTCAAACAAACCACTAACAGCTACTACTGACTCAATTTTTTTTTTTTTAAGTAGGTTTAAATAAAAATGATTCCTCTTCAAAATTATGCACTATTGTGTGTTGGTCCATTATATAAAATCCAAATAAAACACATTTAAGCTTATGGTCGTAACATCATAAAATATTGGAAAGTGTAAAGGATATAAATACTTTTGTGAGGCCGTGTTTTATCTGAAATCTATCAAGGTCGGTCTTAGGAAGGCTGAGACAGAATACCCTCTGACTGCAAACTTCAAGCATTTCCTTTTGTTGTCAAGTTGAAGCCCCGACATCCTTTGCAGCTCATCGTTTCCTCAGCTCTGTTCCTGTCTGAGGTGCAGGTGGTCAGACGAGTCGCTCTTCAGTCGCCGCCCTCTACACCTCAAACTGCTTTGCAGGAGCTCCTGCATATTTCTGCTGTTTATGTTGAACAAACTAGCAAAAAAAATACGTCTGTCATAACATCTCATTAAATAGACGGGAGGAAATGAGTGGTGCTTACATGTAGCAGCAGGGTTGTATACGTTAGCAGATGTCATGCTTCAAACATGACTGAAGAGGGTGGGGATTTTTATCGGGACGTTTGAGGAGTAATGACTTGCTGGCCGCCGCTCGGCTGATTTGGTTCTGTGTGGGCGTGCAGACGAGATGTCCGAGAGCCGGCAGACTCACGTGACCCTCCACGACATCGACCCTCAGGCTTTGGAGCAGCTCGTCCAGTACGCCTACACAGCAGAGATCGTAGTCGGGGAAGGTAACGTGCAGGTGAGGTTGAGATTTTCCTAAATTGGCCAAATTGAACATGAAAATATAGAAAGAGATATTACTCCCCCCCCCCCCCCCACTTGTAAATTGCCTTGTTTCTAGACCTTGCTTCCAGCAGCGAGCCTGCTGCAGCTCAACGGGGTGAGGGACGCGTGCTGCAAGTTCCTCCTCAGTCAGCTGGACCCCTCCAACTGCCTGGGCATCCGAGGCTTCGCAGACACGCACTCCTGCAGCGACCTGCTCAAGTCGGCGCACAAGTACGTGCTGCAGCACTTTGTGGAAGTGTCCAAGACAGAGGAGTTCATGCTGCTGCCGCTGAAACAGGTGGGTGGGCTGCTGCCTGTCTCTGCCTCCCGCTGTGCGCTCTGCTGACTCATCCTGATGAATTTTAATAGCGGTTTTCTCACTGTGGGGCCGTGAAGCTGTCTACCTGTCCTGTGTTTTTCTATGAGCAGGTCGTCGAATTGGAACATGTTATATAAAGCATTCCCATTTTATTTATTTTTTTAATTCTTCAACTTTTTTTTCCAAGAAACATTGAAACCAAAATCTTTCTTGTATTTTATTAGGATTTTATGATGGAACATAAAGAGACACACTGTGAAGTGCAGTTACGACCTAAGTGTAGAGCATATGTCAATCAATTTTCAAGCCTTGCTGCAGATTCTTACTCTAATTTAGATCTGAACTTTGAATGGGACATTCCAACACTAAAATAAGTGTCAATCTATAGCATCAGATGGCAGCTGTGGTTGTATTTAGGTATGTTTTGCTTCTAACAGGTTTTCTTCCATGATTGTCACATGTTTAACTCTATCCATCTTCCCACCAACTCTGAGCAGCTTTCTTGTCCCTGTTGAGATGTAGCATTAACACAGTATGATGCGGCCACCACCATGCTTCCCTGTGGAGCTATGTTTTCAGGGATGGGGATCGCTGGTCGTCTCCAGTGGGACTGGCCCTGGATAAATGGTTGTGGGTGGGACATCCTGTAAGAAGCCTCTTTCCTCCCTGTGTTTTCTGTTGACTCCTTTCCTCCCGAGGTATTATCATTCCTCAGGGCTTGTTGTCCGGTTTATCTGCTACATCAGCTCAGCTGAAGCACCACTCACTCCTGTTCAGGCTCAGCTGCAGCAGTGCTGCTGCTCCAGTCCTGGAAGTGGTAATTAGGTAAAGCCAGTGACATTTTCACAGCTGCTCTACTGTTTATAGAGCAAACAACCACGTTTACGCCTCTTGCATATCAATGAGGGTTTCTATTCTGGCTCCAGTATGTTATTGTCACCAGTTTAATCCAATTTTAGAATAGATTTATCCACCAATTTATTATCTATACTTATAAGTCCTTCAAGAGCAGAGATGGATATGAAGGATATACAAGTTATCAATTTTGCAGCTAATCTGTTTCTCATATTATCGGGTTAGCTTGCAAAGCTGCAAATTGGTTTCATTTATCAGCCTGAGCTCCTCTGAAGCCTTTTCTTATTGGATGAACCAATATATTATTATTTATGTGGTAAAATATACAAGGAGTCCTGGATTAAATTGGTATTTGGGTGTTAATAGGTAATGACACATACTTAACACATTAACAAAGAAGGCTTAGTGAATAGAAATAAATGCAGTGTCAGTTTCATTAATATGTGCAGTGAACCTGACACTAAATATGAGAAAACATTTTAGGCCAAGGGCCTTTGATGGACTGGTGACCTGTCCTGGTTTTCTGATGGACTCCAGCTTCCACTGTGACCCAGAGGAGGATGAAACAAGTAGAGAAAATAAATGAATAAATTAAGAGAAAAGACCAGACTCCTCTTATTAACTGTGCTAATTGTTGTCATTTAAAGCACTGCGTGGCTGTGGTATAATCACATTGGCCCTCATTTGCGTATAGCCAAAAAAATACCTGAAGTGAGAATTATTTTTCCAAACGGGTGCAAAATTATTAGGTTTCATTTCATAATGGCAAATGTATGATTAATGATTTATCTTTATCATTGCACTCCACAGGCCACGGAAAGTTGTGTCACTTTAGTTAAATTTTACAATTTCAGACTGGCCTGATTCACAGGAGTGAAGGTTTCCTGGATCAAACTGTTTTTTGTTTCTTTTGCAGCGTAATCAGTAGCTGCTTTATTTGGCAATTGAGCCTCATTTAAGGAGGAAACCCTGGAAGTCATGACAATGCAGCTACTTTCCACAACCTTTCAGGGCCATATAGGTGGAAGCGCATCTTCAAACTCAGCCCACTGTGGAAAACTAATTGAGGGATAGTAAAGGGGAAATGGCTCTGCTTTGGATCAGGTGGGGTAATTCTGCTCTGTGCTCCAGAGAAAAATGTAGGATGTCCTTTGTAATTTGCAGGTATGCAGGATATTGTACTATATAGTGAAAGTGTAAGAGCTGTCCGTTTTTAAACTTCAAAATTTGTACTATTAAAGCAAGATCTTACTCATTTGGAAAGCCTTTTTCTTTATTTATATGAGAAATGGCACTGTTCCTATTTTAGAGGTCATTTGAAATTTTTTGGACAAGCTAAATAAAATGTGGCACGATTGCTGGGATTGGTCAGCTAACAACATACAGTTCAAATTTAGCTGCTATAACTGTTTAAAAGAAGACCAATTATGATGTAAGAGGAGTTTGTTTCTGCTTTAATCAGGATTATCTTACAAAATGGGACTGTCCTTACTGCACCTTCCATCTTTACATTATAAACAAATTATTCCTTATTAGTTCTGGTTAAATGACTTGAATTAATTGTCTGGCGATTCTTCTGATTTTGTCCGGTCTGCTGGTGATGCTAAACTTTTCCACTGGATTTTATTTGTATGTTGTGTTTTCTGTTTTCAATCTTTATTTTTTCTGTAATGTGTTGAGAGCAAAAAGCTCAGCACCAATGTCATTAGATTTAGAAGGATCTTCAAAAATGTTTGGTAAAATTTCTAGTTTCTCTAAAGGGAAAAAAACAAAACGTCAGACGACAGTGGCTTAAAAACACACAGCTGCAGACACCGCTCCCCATTATCTCCATGGTTTCTGCAGCAGTGAAGCGATGACGCTCCACGGGAGTCGAACGCTAAGCCTCACCATGTTTCAGCCCTTCAAAGGCCTCAAACTGAATCTGCTCTCACTGTGTGGGCGCACGCCATTAAAGCACCAACAGTTAAGCTACATTAAAGCAGATTAAAGACATACAGTTTTCTTCAGACCCTTTCTTCTCTTTCCTGTGGCTTTTTCCTTTATTCTGTCCACAACTGGTCCAAATCTGCACCAGATCTAGATGTATATCCTCTCCGCTCTGAAAGACTCGAAGTTCACAGGGCTGTGAAATATTCCCCATATTTTTTATTTTTTTATGTTCTCTTGAGGGGGAAAATCAAGAAGGCGTGACAGGATTGTGACTAGTCAGCTTGGTTTGATGGCTCACTGATTTAACATCACACGCATGACATTTTGAAGCGTGATGGCTGTGTCTTGATGTCTGCTGGAACTCATGTCGTTCATGCTTATTGCATTCCTTACCGCCAGTAAGAGGACGGTTACTGCTAATTGTTTGTTTGGAGAGTTTTTCCTTCTTTAGTAAACTCGTGATGCAGTATGTGCATGCAGAGGCAGCAGTGGCTGCAGGGTGGGGCCTGAGCTGTCTCTCTCTCTCACTCTCTCGCTCTCTCTCACTCTGCGACTGTGGATTAGATGAGGCTGTGTTCCTCAGCGGCAGCAAAGTGTCGCTGCGGCCAGGAAAGACGACGGCTGGCCGCTCCTTTCCCCCTGCAGCCTGGCCAGTTTAGCGCTGACCTGGGAACAGTGCCAGGCAGCCACTCAGACTGCTGCGTTTGTTTTTATGTGCTCGGAATAATGGCAGCTTTAAATATATCGTGATAACGGCACAGAGACAATGATTTAAAAAGGGAAAGGTTTATGTGTGTGTGCATGTTTAACTGGATTTAATCTGGACTGATTCCATTTTGGTGGCATTTTGAAATTAAGACGAGGAGGAAGGAAGATAAGAGAGTTCAGCTGCAGTAAAAAACAGTTTACCTGTTTTACATTTCAACAGTAGTTATTAACGGAAAGACAAAAGAAGATACTCAGTTGAGATCAATATGTAATCTTTGTCCTTCTGCAAAAAAAAAAACTAAACTATGCTGAACACACCATCCACATGATTGAACACGTTGGTGGCAGCATCATGCTGTGGGGATACTCTTCTTTGGCAGGGACAGGGAAGCTGGTNTGNGTTGATGAGACAATGGACAGAGTTNAAATATTCAGATCAGCTTTATATTAGTTTTTTTCTGTATTTTTCATTTTATAGTTTTTTTTTTTAATTAGAAAGAAAGCCCCTTTGGTGGTGGTGAAGCTGAATTTTACTCGTCATGTTTCTTCAGGTGCTTGACCTGATCTCCAGTGATAATCTGAATGTGCCGTCAGAGGAGGAGGTGTACCGCGCCGTGCTGACCTGGGTGAAACATGACATAGATGGACGCAGGCAGCATGTGCCTTGGGTAAGTCGGGAGGAAAACGCAACCGATTTTCATTCCCCCACCTCCTCCGTATCGATCACCTCTGCCGTGTCTCACCAGCTGATGAAGTGCGTGCGGCTGCCTCTGCTGAGGCGAGACTTCCTGATGAGCAACGTCGATACGGAGCTGCTGGTGCGTCACCACTCGGAGTGCAAAGATCTGCTGATCGAGGCTCTGAAGTACCACCTGATGCCCGAGCAGAGGGGGGTCCTGAGCAACAGCCGGACGCGCCCTCGGCGCTGTGAGGGGGCCAGCCCTGTGCTCTTTGCCGTCGGTCAGTGTGCCCCTGAAGGTACCCGTCAGGGTACATTTGGAAAATGCACCTGGATTTTTTTTTTGTGGTTTTTCTTGCATATTTAATGCACTTACAAAAATGAACTTCTGTTGCAGGCGGAGGCAGCCTTTTCGCCATCCACGGAGACTGCGAGGCGTACGACACCAGGACAGACCGCTGGCACATGGTGGCATCCATGTCCACCAGGCGCGCACGAGTCGGTGTGGCAGCCATCGGGAACAGACTCTATGCTGTCGGAGGGTGAGTGATGACACCCACAGAGGTGACCTTTAATAAAACATGAACTGGTGCCAGGAAATGGAAGATTTGGGGACTAATCTTTAGTGCACAGCTTAAGCGGAGGTCATTCCTTACCCTGACTGAAACACCTGTCTGTGTGTTTTCTGGCGCTAACTGCTCTGCTGAACATGGGCGATCCCCGTCTTATCACAGATCAACACACTGTTATCTCAAGGTCTAAAAAAAATGTCAGTCTTGTTTATTCAACACTTTGACTTTTCACTAACAGACTTGTGCTTCAATAAAAATAAAGACAGACCATGTCTTTATTTGTTCGTCCTTGAATCTGATTATAACCGTCTAATTTCCTTTATCTTTGAGGTCTGTCTCTTTGCAACCTGTAGGCAGGAAGCAAAATTTCCTCAGAGTGAGTGCAGGAAACCACGCTGACATTCTGCGACAAACCTTTCTCTTAAGGTACGATGGCACCTCGGACCTCGCAACCGTGGAGTCCTACGATCCCATCACCAACTCCTGGCAGCCGGAGGTTTCCATGGGAACGAGGCGGAGTTGTCTGGGTGTAGCTGTTCTGCACGGCCTGCTGTATGCTGCTGGGGGATATGATGGCGCCTCCTGTCTGAACAGGTAAACACAGACCTAAATTTTGACAAACGTAGCTCCTTGATATTTTAAATCCACAGTTTATGTCCCTTGAAGTTTTCTTACAACCACAAACTCCCAGGTATTAAAGTTGTATGTCTGTGGAAGGGGGAAAAAATAATAAAAAGATGATTTTCAAAATTTGCTTTTAGTTCTGTTTTGATACCCCTACATACAATCTGTGAAACATGGTGGTGGCTGCATCATGCGGCGAGGCTATTCTTCCAGTCAGATGAGAGCAGGCTTATGTTTTTTGGCTTACAAACAAAAAGCTGGGTGTGGTGGAAAGCACACAACCAGAGCTGCAAGGCTGGCCTATTTTCAAATCGCTGTGTGGCCGACGTCCAACACAGGACATCACCTTGAAAGACGACACCCTCAGAGTAAAATATGGTGCTGTGAGCGTCATGCTGTGGCGATGCTACTTCAGAATATTTGTCCAACATGACTAAGCTTAAGCTATTTTTAAAAAAGGAATCGCCTCACTGGGAATCCTATAAAACAAAAATGCGAAAAACTGTAAGGAGTTTGAACAGTTATGGCAGGACATTGTGAATTTAATCGTATGCCGTTTCTTCTGTGTGGATCTGATGTTAGACTGCCAGAGTAATTTTGGTAAACGCGGATCTTCTTCTCTCTTGTAGCGCGGAGCGTTACGACCCTCTGACCAGCACTTGGACATCAATTGCAGCGATGAGTACCAGAAGGAGATACGTTCGAGTTGCGACTCTGGGTGGGAAGAGAGATTTAAACCGCTGATCTATTGCACGTTTATATCCTCTGATTTTATTTTAGTCTCAGAGATACAGAGGGAGTTGCTGCCTTGGTATTTGTCTGCTAATATTTACGTACCGCGTTTACTCCCTATTCTCCCTCCAGACGGCAGCTTGTATGCGGTGGGAGGCTACGACAGCTCCTCGCATCTGGCAACGGTGGAGAAATACGACCCGCAGGTAAACCGCTCACAAATGTATCCTCAGAAATGTTGGCTGCTTTAGTTTCACTGAACCTTCCCGTCGAAAACGCATCACTTCAGCTAAATCTACAGTGCGGACGCGTCGCTAATTCTCAGCGTCTCGTTTTGGACACACAGAGCAACACGTGGACGGCCATCGCCAACATGCTGAGCCGGCGCAGCAGCGCCGGGGTGGCCGTGCTGGACGGCATGCTGTACGTGGCGGGAGGCAACGACGGCACCAGCTGCCTGAACTCAGTGGAGCGCTTCAACCCGAAGACAAACACCTGGGAAGGAGTCGCTCCCATGAACATACGCAGGTCAGTCTACAGCAACGCAAACACTGCAGGTGATGTCACGTCTAAAAACCGGAAGAAACCCAAAACGTAAACATCACAGACAAACAGTAGGAGCCATGGCACTTAAAACATCCGCAGCATTAGTTATTTCAAGCAGTAACCATCAGCTAAAATAAGTAGCATAAAAATAGTAGACATTTATTTGGGATCTTCTGCAGATTAGGGCAAAATATAATTAATCAATGAAACACAATATGGGTATAAAACGTGACATAAGTGCACAATGAGAAAGAAAGCTGTGAAGAACTGGATGGTTCTGCTTTGGATGACAATGACAACATTGTTCAACCGGTTACAATGTACAACACTAAAACACTTCCTGCAGCAGCTGAGACACTTCTTCACTTTTAGCTCCTTTCACTGTCCCGTGCAGGGCAGCTTTGTCAGCCATATTGCAGCAGGAAAACCTCACTGAACCCACCATTGTTTCTTTAAGTATTACAAAGTTAGACATTTCTAAAGCTATGTTGTGTTTTTTTAGTTTCTCTTTCTCTGTTGTTTTTGGCTCTATGCTGCGACGTTGAAAGATTTGAGAGAAAGAATGTGGGAGAGACGATGAATAACCTGGATTGTTTTCAGGAAAGCTAATGAAATGAGACACACCCTAACCGGCTGAACCATCAGGATGACCCAGTTCTGCCTCCTGCTTTAGCAGTAGGAGGCAACGACACCCTGAACGGGCATTGACATTTTACAGATATCCCGGTTTTATCCTTCAAACAAAAAGCTGCAGAAAACTCTTCAGTCATTCTAATCCGATAAATGTTTTAGTCTTCTGTAAATAGTGACTGACGATTTATCGGTAGTTTGGGGACAACATTTTAAGGGAGTGTGTTGGAAATGTGTAGGGCATCAATTAGGAAGAGAATAGAGTAACAAACCGCAAATAATTTATTCATGGATAAATTGAATGAGCAGACATGAAAAAGTAGACCAAACAAATTCTAACAAGTTTGTAAAATAAATGTATATCTTCTGTTCTGATGGTGTCTGCTGCCTCTCACAGAAAAACTCGGGTTTGTTCAGGTTTGCAGCTCTGATGAGTCTCTGTCTTCCTTTGATGGGAAAAAATGGTAAAAACAGACTCAGTCTAAGATTAATGTCGTCCCTCAGAATACAGTCACCTTTTTCAGACTCAGCCAGCGTGCAGTTCATGTCTTTTAAGAGAAGATGGCGGTCTGTTAAGACTTGCTGCAGGTTTTCTCTGTTTGTTGAAGGGCAGCTAGAAAACTACTCTGTTCAGTAGGTCAAACCTCTCTCTATCACAGATCGGTAAACGTTTAACTGCAAGGGAGGTTAACTTCCTGAGGAAGTAATGTATTTGTTGGGCTTGTGGCAACTGGTGAGTGGCTATGGTTCCGCAGAGATTACTGAAGTTAATGATGTTCCTGTGTTAAACGTGCGAGGGTGTGAAGGCTTGAAGAGTACCATCGTGTAATGGAGGAGTTCTTTTGTAATCATTTTTAAAAATCTAAAGGCTTTCTTGTCAGGTAGAGTGATTTATTCATCTGCTTTTTGTAGCGCGCCCAGCAGAAAATCCTGGAATAAATAACGTTCCTCTGTTCAAACTAAAGGATTTCAGTCCTTTCATGTCGTCTTTTCTCTTCTGTCCTCCTTCAGGCATTAACATCGAATGACATCCCTTTCAGAAAAAGTCAACCTTTTCTCATGTCTTTAAAAACGAACAGGCACACGTTTCCAGCAGCCTGTTGGCTCCGATTTGCCTCGTGATGGAACATTTAGACACAGCAGCAGATTCACTTGTTCCTACACAAACACAAAGGTTCATTTCTGGATGTGAGAGAATGAAAACCCGATAACAGCCCATGAATTACTCATGTTTGTCTCTGAGGTTGTTTTTTTATTTCTTATTTAGTTCCTGTGAGTCTCCATTTACGCTATCTGAAACATCCCACTGCACTGATATATGCGGTGTGTAAAAGACATTTGACGCTATGTTTAAAAAATCATGTCCAAAATACACCTAATAAGTATTTCACTGGGTTTTTCAAGTGGTAAACCAACACATAATAGGATACATTCATGAGGTGGAAGGAAATTATATATCTTGGATTTAACACTTGAAAAGTGTTGTGTTCTTCTCCTCTGAGCCTGTTGGACCACTTCTTGCTATCATCATGGCTGCAAGTCTTTTTTGGGAGGTATATTCTTACCAGCTTTTGCACATTTAGAGACTGGTGACTATTCATTTTCGCAAAATGGTTCAAGCTCAGTCAGACTGGATAAAAAGCTACTGTGAACATAAATTTTCAACTCTTTCCACGAACTGTCAGCTAGATTTAGGTTTAGGCTTTGACAAAAAAAAAAAAAAAAAGCATTCCACTCATACTCAGAATAGATTTGGAAAAATTTAAGAAAAATCATTCATAATTTCCTTCCACCTCATACCGCTGCATTATTTTGTGTTTATCTAGAGAGCATGTGTCAAAGTCGAGGCTCAGGGGCCAAAACCGGTCTGCCACAGGTTTTCATGTGGCCGGCAGGGCCACATAAATATGACCTTCAAGATAATAGTTTAGTTCTAAAATATTTTACAGGTCAAATCAAAGCAGTTTTTCTGTATACTTCCAAACTACAGTTATGTGAAACATGCTTATTATTATTACATTTTAAGAGCTTATCACTGAACATAGAGAAAGCTATTTATTAATATTTTAAGTTTAATAGGTAGTTTTGTCAGTACATTCTACTGCAGCTGGTCTTTTGAGAATATTTGTGATCTTGAGGTGACCGGAAATGAAAGTGAGTTTGACGCCCCTGATGCATCATAAAACGGCATAAAATGTGGCTGGGAAGTGACAGACTGTGCTACAGTCTATGGGCGCATGCCACGGTACGAAGACTGAGCAATACGGAGCTGTAATAAAAATGTATTTCTAATGGAAGACCTACATATTGTAATATTTCTTAATATTCTGATTTTCTTAGGAGCACTCACGACCTGGTGGCTATGGACGGGTGGCTATACGCGGTGGGAGGCAACGACGGCAGCTCCAGCCTTAACTCAATCGAGAAGTACAACCCGCGGAGCAACAAGTGGGTTGCGGCCTCCTGCATGTTCACGCGGCGCAGCAGCGTCGGCGTGGCGGTGCTCGAGCTCCTGAACTTCCCGCCGCCTTCCTCGCCCACCCTCTCAGTGTCCTCCACCAGCCTTTGACACGGGGTCGCCGTTTGGCTGACTTCGGCCGCCACTGCTACAGCCCAGACTGGATCTGGGAAGAGACGCAACTGTTCGGTGTGAGATGAGGAGGAGGGACTGCTGGGAGCGCCGAGGGGAGGGAGAACTGAAGGCACACCGTGTGAATGAGGCCTCTTCATTTGGTACGGTACACTCCAGAATTATTAGCAAACTTGGTTAAAACCAGACATGCTTTACATAGCAACTAAAGACAGCAACTTTTAAAGTAATTGTAAAAAAACACTTTACCATATGATAATAAAAATATAATTTAATATATCTCATTAGATGATAAACAACTATTAGTATTATTAAATTATGATAATTTTAGTTGTTTTAAACTAATCATTACTCCCTATTATTCATTTTTTCTTTTTTCTTTATTTTTTTGCCACGTTGCTGTTAGCTCTGAACTGCACCGTATCTAGTCTGGATTCCTCAGAGTCTCTCCTGAATATCAAAACCATACCCTTCAAAACTTATTTCTTTAAAAAAAATAATAAAAATGGACTAAAAAAAAAAAGGTGTGCCCACCATGATAAGTGTTTGACACACATATCGTAAAACAAGGCAGGCACTTTATTCTGTAATGTGTGCTGTACCTTTTTGGTTTGATGTCGTAGTTCCCTGCAAAACTTTTTTTTTTTTCATGTCAAGAGTTTTTCACAATAATATATATCGATATATATATATATATACATAAAAAAAACTGAATGATTTTACTTTTGGAATGTAGCTTTTTTCAGTGGTCGTACCATGCATGACTACGTATCGACACAGAAACCCTTCCACCCCAAAAGATGAGAAATGTAGTTGTAGTTCTGCTGTGCCACGCTAGGTGGCAGTAACGGGCAATGTTTAAAAGCGCTGCAAGAAAGCATGGACACAAACAACAAGCTAGGCCCTCAGAACTGCGAATGAGTTTGGATCTTTATTTATATAAAAGAACGAATAATACAAAAGTAGATTCATTTATAAAATATAATATATTCAGTTTTAAAGACGCTCAGAGAAAGAAACGGATCCAAGCGATGACTATTTAAGAGTGTTTTAAATATATTTATTTAACGTGTGACGTGCATGTCACAAACGGAAATGACAGAGAAGAATGTCTTAGTCTGAGAGACGCTTGTGTGGGTTTAGACTACGAGAGGACTGCTTGCTGTGTTATGATGTGCGGCGATTCATTTGCATTTCTTAATGTTTGTTCACTGCCACATGACCCTGGACCTCACTGTACATCTAACAGCATTTATTGTGTTTGCCTAAATTATTTTTCAAAACCACATCGAGGTGCATTGTTTTCCCCCCTCAAGATGGATAGACTTGGCTGGTGGATGCCATCCTATTCCATTTAATTAAACTGAACCATATCTATTTTAACTGTGGTTAATAAGTTGGGCTTTGTTTAAACAGTTAAAATAATAAAGAAAATGCATTACCATTGCATAAATATCTCAAGTAAAATCTAATTTGTCAAACTGATCTACTCACAATGATCATTTTGTCCTTTTTATAAATGATAGTTGAGTTCAGCTCATGTGATATCATTCCAGACTTCTAAGAAGTTGCCTTTTCTCCTTATTTTGAAGGATTTATTTATCCGTTTAGTTTTTCTCTCTCTCTCTCTCTCTAAAACTACCTTCAGTTTCATTAAAGTGTGCAAAGGCGTACGAGGTAGAAGTGGAGCTCTGATGGCCTTATAAAAATGTGACTACTCTGTAAACTTTTAAGATAACAAGCTGCACAAATTCACATAAGACTAAAAACCTCCATTCTCTGGATTGAAATGTACATATATTGCTTAGTTTCTGAGTTCTGTTTGTGCAATGTCAATGTGACTGTAGACTCTTTTTTTTCTTCTTCTTCTTCTTTTTTTAAGTTTGTGGTTGGTGTTGTGATATGTGTTTATTTATATGTTTGTTATTTATGACAGACTTTAATATGTTGAATTTTGCACTATTGCGAAGTGGAGCAATACAGTACACTCAAAAATGGAAATAAAGATGTTTTCAGATGTGGCAACTGTCCTGATGTGCTTCACTAAAACTGCAAATAAAGCAACAGGCTTCTGTGGAACCTGTTTGCAACTGTGCATGGAAGAGCAGTTGGATTTCCTTCAAAATGCTTTTACACACACACACACACACACACACACACACACACACAGTAAAGGTTGTGCTGCAGAGTGAGGTCGTTGCTAGGTTCACTGTACACACTTCCTTGGTAGGTTTCCAACATACTCGTCTATCACAGTGATTTAAACGGACAGCTGAACACTCTCACTTTCCCCTTCCTGACCTCAGTCACATGGCATTCACACCTGTGGCTGCCCCTAGAAACTCCCGGCCGGATCGCCTGCAACTCCGCAAAACCCAAACATCCAGACGCCAAAAGTGTAAGACTCCCAAGTTTTTCACCGGGAAAAACTAATCTATTCATCTGTTCAGATTATTTACTAAAAAGAAAGCATGTTGCTGCAACAAATGCATTCCAAATGACTGATGCCACCACAGATGTCTTTGAAGTAAACGAAGCTCAAGGTTTTGTTGTTTTTGTTTGGGTTTTTTTTTTGTGTGTTTTTTTTTTTTACTTTGGCAGATAGCCAAGGCATAGTTAAATAGCTAATCTTCTAAAACAAGGAATGTGGGTGAAAATTATTATAATATAAACATTCTTCTAAACACCACACTTCTTTGAACCAGCAAACGGTAAGGGAGAGAAAAGCCACTAACTGGAGTTTAGATGCCCATTCAATATGTATAAATCATGTATTTTTGTACAGAACAACTGTGGGACATTATTTTATAAATTTTGCACAATTACATAAAAAGAAGTCTATCAAGAAAGTAGGATTTTTTTTTTTTACATACATATCAAAAACACTGAGTCAAACCTGTGTGCAAATGTACCACAAGAATAGTGAAGTCATTTGAGATTTGTGAATAGGGCTGATAAATGTGCATATTCAGCAGAATTTCATACATGTGGAGGAAGGTGGTCTGGTCAGATGAGACCAGGTTGGACTTTTTGCCCTACATGTAAAACATTTTTGTGGACTAAATCTACCACTGTACATTATCTTAAACACACCCTCCCCATCTGTAAACACAGTGATGGCGGTATCATGCTGTGGGGAAGCAGTTTTTCAGGTCAGATGTGGCCAGAATTGTATTTTTCTTGCCTTCATATAAAATGTGGTGTGGTGGGACTTTCATCTTCCATCTGGAGCTACCAGGGGAGGTTAAAGAATATCCTTGTTTTGGAATGGCCTAGTCAAAGTTCAGACCTACAACCAATTGAGAGATTGTGAAAAAAATTTTGAAAATTGATGTTCAAAGATGCTCCCTGTGCAGTTTGATTTAGTTTGAGGTATTTTTCAAAGAGAAAAGCAAATAAATAAATAAATAAATAAACAAATAAAAACTAAAAAAAATAAAAAATAATCTGCAGATATGCAAAGCTGGTGGGGATAAATATAAAAAAACTTACATCTGACAGCAGAGAAAGGCAGTTTTTAAAGTACCGACTTAAAAAATAAATGACCCCCTTCGTCCACTTATCATTTAAACTCCACTTTGTGTGGCTTTAACCCCTTCTTTGTCCATGAAATATTTATGGTTGTAACCTGGCAAAATGTGAAAAAGTTTAACGTCTGAATGCTTTTGCGAGGTCCGTCTTATATTTTCTGATATGAGAATTTCCTTTCTAGTCAAAATCAGCATAAGATTTTCTATATAACTTATAGTTTCCCACAGAATCAGCCTCACAGGTGTGTCGTACCGAAGCTCTAAAGACGTCTATTTCTCGATACAAGCCTGATTGACGTGATCACCATAATGACTTTTATCTTTGCCAAGATAAGACTGAAGCGCCCCCTCAATATGCGATCCACCGCATGTATCAGAAGTTAATCAGCTGCTGAGTGTCTCTACCCGCGGCTCATCTCCTCGACTCTCTGGATGCTAATGAGGCCACAGCTTGTCTAGACCAATGTTCTCCCTCTGAAAGAGCTGCTGCAGCTTATCTGCCACAGCCTCCCTTTTCTCACCTGGCGTCCCCGTCTGCAGGCCCTAATCAGGCTGAGAGGTTGGAGCTGTCGGTATGCCGACAATGCCGTATCACCATGACACTTTCTCAAGCACTGGATGCAAACTTTAGGAAGTTGCAGTTCTATAAAATCTACTTTTAATGCAAACCGAGGGCAATTTGCTGCCGAGCAGAGCTCAAATTCCTCAGCAGATGACGATTATGTTTTACAAGATGATTTAGAAAACATTACAGTAAAACTACTCATAGTCTAGTTTTCATTTCTTTTCGTTAACCCTAACTATAAAGTTAACCTGAAATTAATTCTGGTATCAGAATCGCTTTTTTTTTTTTTTTTTTTTTTTTAAATTAGTGGTGGGCTTGTTTTTGGAAGGATTTCCTGCTTCTTTTTTCAGTCTTTATTTTCTGGTAGATCTAGTTTTTTCCGGCTGACAGATCTGGCTTTATTCATCAAGATGTTTTAATAAGTGCCACACCTGCATTAATCTTCTGGTTACCCCCATCATTCTTTCTTTACTCCAACTTCCTCCAGCAGTATTTTACCGCCTGTTGTTATTCTTGTCGTATGCACGGTTGCTCCCATGGTAGCGCTGCGGGTGGAGTTTCGTATCGCACGTGCATTTTTACCATTTGGTTTGGTGATATCCAGAGGTAGATGGTGTCTAAAGTAAGACTGAAAGGGGTCTCGGTAATTGTGACAGAGCTGATACTGTGAGAAATAATTACTTCTTGAAGTGAACCATCCAGAACCTTCACTGAACAAATTAAATTAAATTATAGATTTTAAGGTTTTTCGTATATCTTTGCCAAAGATATCAATCAGTAAGCATGTGTCATTCCTCTTTAAATATTACTGATAATGATAAAGGACATCAGATGCTTATTTACTCTGAATATCTTTTAATGCTAATCAAAGGTGTCTCAGCCAAAGTTAGTTTCAGTTGCACCTATTGTACTTTCGTTTAGTTAATTTTTTCAGTTGATTTCTGCACATTTCGATTTCTGACAAA